AAAAAACAACATAAAACAAATAATTACGGAAACATATTAACCGACTGACTACTAAAGAAAGTATACACTAATAGTGACGAAATTAAAAACTGCTGCACGACTTTGAAGGCAGCCTACCGCCCAAATCATCGGAATTTCTGGTGCGCAGCAGAGGTAGAGATAGATACTATAGTGCTAGTTGAACAGTTAACTTGTGTCTCCAAACTGATATTAGAGACTGCGAAATGACCATCGGTGAAGGTTGGCCTCGACCGTCTGTTGCGCCTGCGCGAAACATACCAATGCAAAATTATCAAATGGAAAGCCTGGGCACTCTGACACGGCTACAGCGGCAACTTAAAAACAAGTTAGCCTTACTGTTTTAGTAAACGTGGCGACAAAGATAAATGGAAACGAATATACGAGTCTCAGATTCCAGTTGGAAATAAAATGAAGGCGTGACCAGTGAAACGGTGGGTGTATTAATCTGAACTTTTTGACTGGTACAGAAGCGCATCATAAGAGGTTATGAAAGCGCAACAAGTAAACAGGTTGAAAGTCAAAATAATAAGTAGAAAGGGGTAGTCTTCAGGATTGGATTGGGACCAGACCGTCGTGACGTAAGTCCTGGGCTATAAAGTAGGCCGTACTACTTGGACGAGTAAACTTAACGCGTCATAACAGGGGGAAATCAGTATATAAATGGAACCAATAGGTCGCCTATACCGACAAATAAGCGATCTCATCACAGAATCTCCTTTCTCAAAATTGCCGGCAGGATCTTCGCCAAACCCCTGGAATCGACACCCGACGCAAGAGCTTAGCGGATGCCGGTACGAACTCAGTAAAAAATGAAAGCAGCGATATGGGTTTGGTGGATGAATAGTAGAAGGAACAATTACAAGGACTGAGGATTAGTCTCTAAGTTTTCTAAATGAATCCCAAGAAGTCTTTAATGCCATCAAACGATATAGACTCGAAATTAATGGGGAGCATTGGATATACCAAATGGTATACAGTGATCAAGCAAATACAAATGACGGGCAACGAACTGACATCGTAGGTCTCCGTGGTG